TGGTCCTGCAGGGTCAGTGTGTCTGCTGATTATCTTGGTCACTCTTTGAAGCAGCAGCATCTTAACAGCTGGGTGGAGCTTTTAAACAGATCCCACAATAAGCCAGTTACGAGCTGGTTAAGGTTGCTGGGAGCCAAACTGCAGTCCCTCCAGGACCAGGATAGCCCATCCTAGCCTGCACTGCCAGGCTCTGCGTCAAGACTTTCAGAAAAGCGAAGCCTGAACTGCAGGAATGGTTACACTCCACCTGCAGACACATCCTGAGAGCCCCCTCCCTCTGGGCAGACGGGCAGCTCAGTTATTCTGAGCAGCGCACAGGGGATCACTGCAAGCCCCAGCAAGACCCTGCAAGGAAGAGCAGACTGCGAATATCTCCTGCCCAGCAGCGTGCTCACTCTGCAAATGTGTTTTACTGTAATCCTGCTCCGTAACTGCTGTTGCTGCATTACACTACACCCCATATACAGCATTAGTGTGAGACCACTCTTTTCAACATGCAGCTACAGCACATTAAATCATGTATTTTTTGCACTGTAGTGTAATACAGTAGAACACAGTTGCATTATTAACGGAGATAAAGCATCAGCTAAGTGAATAAATCATAAATATCACGTAGGGGGTCTCATTGAAGCCAAGCTGCTACCCCACTCACTCCAGCCCAGCGCCTGCTCTCGGCCAATGAGGAGAGAGAAGCAGCGCGTGCAGGAACCGCCCCTTCCCCAACAGCCAATAGCAGCCAGCTCCTACACAGCACTGCATCTGCACCTGGGCGCCATGGCAACCAGCTGCAGCCTGCAACACACACAGCACATCGCCTTTTCATCACTGCATCAGAGCCATCACCAGCAGCACAGATGTGTAGTCAAATATTTTTTAAGGAAAATTCACCAAAGATACAGTAGCCTCTCCAAACAGCACCAAGTCTTGGACTTGGAAACTAGTCGTGGAATCTTGCTACATGCTCAGGGCATCAGAGAGAGGAACAGCTGGCGTGGCTGGGCTCTCCTGCAGTGCTCACACGCTGTCCCCTCGGCCACTCAGTCAGTTGTCCCCACTCCTGCTCTGTTCACACCCACTGCGCACAGTGTGATTCCAGGGTGGACTTTAAAGATAAAGACTGCGCCGGATCTCCGACGGTGGGTGAAGAGACAAAGAGAACAGCGTGCGTGCGGAAACCAAAGCCAAACCTGGTGTGAGACGAGGCAGGGGTCCTACCTGAGTGAGATGAAGATGCGACTCAGCAGTGCTCAGGAGGTCCAGAGACAGGGAGTGCCGCCGGCATACGGCACCCTGAAACTCCCCAGGAACACCTGGTGGGACCCCTGCAACATGGCACACTCGTCACCACAGGGCACTGCTTCTGTCTGACACTGGGCTGTACTGTGCAGTCTTTGTTGGGCTCTGTTGAGCTATGCTGTACTGTGTTGTGCCTTACTCATGGCCTGCTCCTGTTCCATCTCACTCTCCAGACACACTGCTTAACACACTATTAACAGTCATTACAAATAAAGTCATTTATTTTTTAAAAAGCGTTTCTTACTTGTAGCAGATCCAGTAGTAGACAAGTACACAAAGGCCCGAGCACTTCTTCCAAAAGACAGTGTCCAGCAACCAGACAGCAGGTCCCTTCCCTGACGAGTCTTGCTGTTAACAGAGTAGCGGAGCACAGCCAGAACCTGAAGCACAGGAGCAGACTGCTGTCCGCCAGGGAGGCAGGACTGCACCAAGATAGGGACAGGACGACACAAACCAGCCCCGAGCTTTTGCGCAGATAGATCCCACAAACTGAGATAACACACAGTGACTCTTCCACTGAGAACAGCTGACAAACCCCTTCACCAATGCAGCACTAGACTCCACACTATGATCACTGTCAAGACAAGATTAGCACCTTCAGGGTTAAGGGGGGGGATCTGGGTTTTGAGCCAATTAACTGTAATTATGTCTGCCTGGAGCTCTCCCTCCCCATTGCCCCAGTACCAGGTAACCTGGGAAAAGTTCCACCAGGTTCACAGGCTACAGGCCCTGAGACTCAAGAAATGTAGAAGAGCACAACTGGGAGAGAACATTAGCAAGGGGAGAATCTGGCACTGAGCAGCTGGCCTGAAGAAGCCTGTGAACTCTGACACACATCAGCTTTGGAGAGGAGCTCCTGTCCATGTGCTGCTTGACCTGGGAAAGAGGTCAGTGCTCAGCCTGTAGCCACTGCCCTTTCACCAGTCTGCTCTCTCCGACATCACTGTGCCTGGGAAGGAATACTTCATCTTCACCGAGTTTAGGAATAATTAAAGCTCAGAAAGACAAATTTTGCCCCCCTCTCCCACCATCACTCGTTAACAGACAAAAACAGCAGTCAGGGAGTACCCAACATATCATCTCCCTTTAAAGAATCCACTGCAGTTCCCCCATCTGTACCTGTGCAAGCCCACACCTCAGTCTACAGGCACAGCGGGGGCTGCAGCCATCTTTGTAATTACAGCAGAGAAACTGCAGGTTAGTTCATTCGACTTCACACAACCTGGCACGTGAATGTCTGCTTAGTGAAGGGCTGGAAAGCCAGCAGCACGCTGCTCCACTCCGTCTGAGGGAGAACCTCCAAGAACAGGTCTCCAGCTCAGGACAGTCGCCCAGCTTATTTAAGGCTCCTGGTGTGGAGGTCAGACACGGCAATGCTGGGGGGGAAGCCTGGGGTCACCGGACCCGATGCGTCTCCACTCCATCTTAATCCTTCACATCTGGATGACCAAGAGGTTGTCCCAACTTTCACACCTGTCTCCCCAAGACCTGTGAGAGAGCCCCTGGAACTGCTCAGCCACTTAAGGCTCGCGAGCTACTGCCGACAAAGAAAAACCAGACTGGACAAGAGAAAACACGAGAACAAAGAACATGTCTAACGAAATCTTTATTTACACAGTACTTCCCCAGTTACAAGCGCAAGTCTCTGTTGATATCTGTGTGTGTTTAACTTGCTTTCTTCTCCGTTGTTAGACAAGCTGTGGGTAAGATGGTTTAAAACAAGGACACCCACCCTCTCGTGCCAAGTGGACACTGAACACCACACATTAGCTTCTCCACAAACACCACCTCTCCAGTTCCTGTCAAGTCATTCAAGTACAAACTGAACTCCAGCGCAGACTCTGCAAACCGCACCAAGGAGATTATTAAGACTTATGAGAATTGAATCCTTTCCTTACGAAGTACGCTGTTCGTAAAGTTCTTTTTTCTTGACTGTGGCTCAAAGCAATTTTCCAAAAGCTTAATTTTCCGGGAAAATGGGACAGAGCAACGAAAGGGTGTCTTTACATCGTCAGTGCATTACCACTCCCAGCAGTCCGTCTTTTAATAAGATCCTACAGGTCTTCTGTATTTGTCCAGCGGCAGTCTGTTCTGCAGCGATCTTGAGGAGAGAGGCGAACCCGGACCGTGAGCTCCATCAGCCTGCCCTTGGAAGACCTTGGAAGGGATTCACTGGTACATGAGGCAACGGGCAGCTTTCCTACACAGTTTCAGGATCTTGGATGCCTCAAGATGCCTTGGAAACAGGGGGCTAAATATTATTCTTAAAAAAAAAAAGGTACATGCTGGTCTGCCTGACTCAATCGCAAAATCAAGAATACCTGAAAGTGCAAAGGACTCCAGCATGCATGTCGGATGGTGGATCATTTTACAATGCAAGCCCTGAATCAGTAACTGATCCACTATTAATACCCTTCGGTAAAGCAGCCCAAGATGAGCGTTGGCAGGGCCTCTGAACACCACCCTTTTTATTTAAGCCAATTTCTCTTTTACCTTTCAGCGAGGAAGGGGCTGGAGATTTCTGCAGCAAGGCAGGGCGGAAAGCCAATGAGATGACAAGCTAAACTGCCTGCACAAACTTCCAGATATGTAGAAAACAAACATCAAGATCGACAGAGATCTCACAGTGGTTAAACGGTCAGCGTGAGAACACACCATTGCTTAGCACACCTTAAGATGGGGAAATACAATAACTCAATTTAAATGAAGCCAACAATCTTGCGTTTCTACCACTTGCTAATGTGTTTTCTGAGAAATCCACCCACATCCCTGGAGAGGGGGTCCTGTTGTCAGACATGAGAGCACAAAGTGAAGAGCCAGTGTCTTGCCGTCGCTATGCTTCACCGAAACTCCATACAACACAGAAGTGGATTTGTTCTATATTCTTACTCGGTTCACTAGGACGAGCTTTATTTTATTGACTTGAGAGAGCCTGTGAGGCCTTCTCCAGAGCTTCAGGCAATGGGCTATTCCATTAGACAATGAAATTATATTTACCGTTCGAATCCGAAACAGCTCTGCATGTGATGTGAACCAATAAATAAAACCACAACCACACACATGGTTGTGGTTCCTGCCCCTTTGATGAGCGGGGTCTTTTCACTTTCTCCCCCAGGAGTTGATCAAAACCAGCTCCTCTGCAGTGTTTCTTTATCAGCTGTCTCAGAGCTACACCGCTTGACTGTTAAATTATAAAATAAGTCCATAAATCGTAAGAAAACTTTGGACATTGGACATTTTTTCTCCAAAATGAAACCATTCTGTAAAATTAGCACAGGACAGTACAATTAAGGAAATAATTTATGATAAAAAGGTCAAGAGTTTTAATATCTTCTTTAACCAACTCCTTTTAATCGTTCACCTAATTTTGACTACCAAGAACAAAACTGCCAACCCTAAGTGCTCTCCTCTCACGTAGGTCATGCATGTCCATTTAACACTGTATTCCTGGGTGCGAAACAGAGCCAGTCAGAGCTTCCCCTTGGCCGACAGGTCCACGCTGCCGTTTCAATACTGGTGGCGCTGTGGTCTGAACCCTCGTCGGTCTGCTCAGTGATGCTCTTCGAGAACAGCTAATTGAGTAAAAATATTTGTTTCTCAGAGATATCAAACCTGGAAAAGGGAAGCGCTCCATGTTCCTGCTCTCCCACTCTCCACGTGCGAGCTGCCCAGCCTGCCCCTCTTCTTCCTCCAGCGCCGAGGGAAGAGGCCGTGTTTCTCTCCCCCACACCGAGACTCTCTCGCCGCAAGAGCGGAGGGGCGACTGGTCCGCTGGACGCAGCCGGAGCGGTGCCACAGGAAGAGGAAGGCGTGACCCACACCAAGGGCCAGAGACGCGGCATTATCGCACAGGACGTCCCGTGACAGAACAGACAGCCCAAGTGCACGCCGCAGTCTCCCGGCGCAGACTGCGGGCGGCGTCTGCCGGCGAGTGAAGAGCGAGGTCCGGTGGGGCGGGGGATCTGGTGCACACCACAGCGACCGTGCTGGCGTGCCGGCTTGCTCTCATTCACGGGGTGGAAGTGACTGGGAAGTTCGGGCGGTGGGTCAGACAGGAAGGGAGACCAGAAGCCTCGGGGGCTTGGCTGGGCCTGGCAGACCCGCTGACTGGCTTGGCAGAGAAGATCGGCAGAAGAGAACGCCCCAGAGGAGGAAGGGAAGCGGCCGGCCCAGCCGCCATCCACTAGGACTTCTTGGAGTCCTGTGTGTTCCGCCTCTTGATGTCGCTCAGGTCGACGGGTGTGAAAGCTGCAAAGAGGACCGTGGCTACAATCAAGGCGAGGCACGGCGGGGCCGAGGCGAAAGCACTGCAGCCAAGTCAACCCTGGAGCCACCCCTCACAGGAGACGCCAATTGTCAGAGACTCTGCGGCAGCGGGTGCCGACGTCACATTTTCAAGAAATAGGAGAAAATAACTTAAGATGTTTGTAGATAAAGCCTGCTACAAAACATGCAGATAATGCTTGTCTGCTGAAGATGTAACAGTGCTTCACTTCCCTCTCTGCTTCTTTAGAACTAACATGACGTGGGACTCTTGTAACAGAGACTGACCCACAGTCTCACACGTCAAGGACAAAAGCTGCAGCGCAATGGGAGCAGCATCCCTCTTGGGGAACTGCGGCGGTGTTCACTGTGAAGCAGCTGTAGGTGCAGTGGAGGAGAGGAGCCACTGGGGCTGTGTGCAGCTGGGCTGCAGAGGCACAGCACACAGGACACGCGGAGGCAGTGCGGCCTACTCACAGTGCAGGTTGGGGTTGGGGTTCTTCTCGACATACTCCTGGGGTCCACGGTCATTACGCTCGCTGCCCTGGGGGGACTTGACATCTCTCAGCACACACTGCCAGGCTAAAAAGAGACAGAGCAACAGCGCTCAGCAAGGCTCGCGGCCTGCACAGTCGGTTCACCGTCTTCCGCTCAGCCAACACGCAGTCCCTCCTGTACTCAATTGTCTGCTCCTCTCTACACCGTCTCCCTAAAACACCAGGCAAACAGCCCCTTTCCACTGGACAGCAGGAGGGAGTACTGGGCACTCAAAAGGACTCTCTCATTTCTGCAACTTAAAATCAATGCCTCGGCTGACTAAAAACATAGGTTGTATTTAGACTTGCAGAACCTTTGTCTCTTTTCCATTAACTGAAATGATGCTGGCCTCCTATTCCCATTTATAGAAAAGAACAGCTCACCCAAACTCAGCTGTGGCTGTCTGCACAGAACCCCAACACAACAACAGTTTACAGCCATTCTGCTAAAACAGATTAGTAAAAAATCTACACCCCTACACCCTACACTAATTAGTAGTTAGTACTAATTCTGTTGGGGGAGAAAGACCAAAGACGCTGGAGCTCACTCTCGTGGATGAAGCGAACGTTCTCCTCGTGCGCAGGTGTGAACAGCTCGCCCGCGCTGGTGGGGGACCGAGGGCTGGAGGTCCGCTTGTAATTATGAACAATTCTAGGAGCCGATGAGCTGCAAACAGACACAGCATTGACTAAAGAATGCAAGGAAGAAAACTCAAAAACAATAACAAAATAATGAAGACAAACAGGAGAAAGATTACAATAAGTCAGATCTGAAAAAGACTGCAAATGCTCCGCTCAATGGTGTACTCATCCTGCTGCTCAACTGCGGGAGCTGAACCTGGGCTATCGAGAGCCCTCCCTCAGCCTCACCTGGTCATTTCTCTCTCTCTGTCGCCCCCGTCTCCTCTTCCTCACACCTCTGTGCTGCCTGTGTCTCTCTCGGGTCCTGGGTGAAGCCGAGTGTCCTGAAAGCTCCCTGTGAAGAGAGCCGAGCACCGTGATCAGACCAACAACTGGGCCCATTCAAAGAGCAAAACTACACTCCTGCGGCACAGCAGCATGATCCACCCCCACGTTTTACCAGCTGTGTGCAAAGTGTATTAGTGAAGCAGTGAAACAAAAACTTCTATTTGTCTAACCCAGATTTATTAAAAACGACTCAAAATGATGCAGGTGGTATCTTGCACCTGGCGTTGGCTAAACCAGAATGCATGGTTCCCACTGACCTGCTGGAACTCAGACAGCTGGTCCTCCCCCAGTGTCACAGAGCGCTCACGCACAGACACTGGCCTGACAACCTGGCCGTCTCTGTTCACACACTTCCTCGGCAGTGCAAGCTCCGTGATCATTTCATACAATATTAAAGAAAACAATCAAGCTAAAAAAAGATAAGTTTTATCTTCATTGTTTGCAAGACATCTACAAAACTGCTACTCGGTTTAAAAGGCGCCTAAGTGAAACTAATGGTTTGTGCTGTTATTGGGAAGCACATCTGATGGCAATAGTCACCTCCGTCTCTACCACAAACCTCAGGTACATTAATGAGCTATTAATTCAGATGAGACAACTTTACCCCGCTCCTCAGGTCTCTTACTTGCTCCAGTGACAGGCATGGCCAGGATACTAGTACTTGTTAACTTTAATGAAGACTTGTAAGTAACCTAGCATGCCGAGATGATCTTGTTTTCTCTCCAAACTCGACACCGTTATTACTGGCGGACAGTATATCCGGCACCGACTAGAACAGCGGGTGTTACCCGCTTTAACTGCACATTTCAAAGGCAACGTTTTAAAATGGCGGCATCTTATACTGTCTACACGTAGCAAATGAAACCTTTTACAAATGCAGGAAAACGAAACTAACAGGGTTTGAAAAACCTAACGCGGCGACATTACAGGAGTATTAACTATTTTAACAGCGGCAGGCTAAAAAAGATTAAAACGGCGCCCTTCGTCCGCAACCTGCTGTGTTTTTAATGAACATTAAAATCGAACCCCAGCCTCGAGGAGGTGGTAAAGCCCTGTTTTCTTAATCCCCGAACCACACGTACAGACGCCTCTCAGAAAATGTCCGCTGACAGCCGTGAAAGAAAGGCGCCTGAGAAGCCCGACCCGGGATGAAGAGGGAGATGCCTGTGCGCAGACCCACGGCCGGGCGTGGGGCCGGGCTGCGCCGGCGGAGACACCGGCTCCAGCGCTGCTGCCGCCCCGGGGCGCAGGAGCTGCCGGCCCGCCCGGCTCCACGGCTCGGCTCGCCGGCTCCCACATCAGAAGCACCTGGTATTGTTCGGGTCCGGAGAAGCGGCTGCTCGGAGTCCCCATTGTTTATTTACACTGCTCTGCAGCCCAGCTCAACCCTGCCCGGAGGATAAAAACCGACCCTGTCCTGTTATTGGGGACTAAACGGCTGAGAACCATCGCTGTAGCTTCAGTATCCTACTTACCTTCTTTTTAGCCCTTTTTTTCCCCCTTTTCTTTCGCTGCCCGTTGTTCCAGTGCAGATCCAGGCCTCCGCCGGCCGTGACGTCGCCAGTGTCTACCAACCTCTTCCGGTAGAGCCGGCTGGAGGCGGTGCTTGTTGGCGTCGGAAGCTGCTAATAAAGTTTTTCGAAAGGCAGGCTCTGAAATGGGCGATACCTGAAGGAGCCGGCAGGGGGCGCGAGTTACACACGGTAAATGGCTAAAGCGGGTCAATTGGCTCTTTAGCTTTACATTATGCTCCGCTAATTTAAATGTATTAATTTCATATTTTTATAAGCACATAACAACCAACATATTTTATAAGCAAATATACTAGACCTTCTACTTTTATAAATTATTCTAGTATGAACCTACTACCTGTTAACAAATGTGATGTGAAACTTCAGTGCAATTAATTGTCATCTACACAAGTGCAAAGAAACGCGTATCTGCATGTGTGCTCCAATACAGAGAACATTACAAAGACATTAAGGAAACACCAAAAACATCAACACAGAACAGCAGCAGCCACAACAACAGGTTAAATAACATACAACTTAAAAAACACATGAGTTGAGTGAGTCAGTGGTAGGAGTAGAGTTTGTGGGAAGAAACTCTCTCTGAATCTAGAAGTTTGTGCCCTTCATGCTCCTATAACGCTGACCTGAGGGCAGGGGGGAGAGCAGTGAGGAACCAGGATGACGGGTGTCCTGAACGATGATCCCTGCCTTCCTGAGATGGCGAGTTGTAAAAATGTCCACAACAAAGGGGAGCTGTACTCCAGTGATGGACCGGGCTGACCCGACCACCCTCTGTGACACCTTCCGGTCAGACAGCGAGCCGCTGCCAAACCACACTGTTATCCCACATGAGAACACGGTCTCGATAGCGCACCTGTCACATGTGGTAAGGACAAGCGAAGATAGATCCATTTTTTTCTATTGTCTGAGGAAGTAAAGGCGCTGTTGTGCCTTCTTTGTAGCTCCAGTTACGTGCTGGGACCACGTTAGATCATTAGCGATGAAGGTACCCAGGAACACCAGATATCCCATTGATGTGAACAGGGGTGTGGTCCCCACCCTGCTTTCTAAAATCGATGACCAGCTCTTTGGTTTTGCTGATGCTGAGGGAGAGATTGTTGTCAAGGCAGCACTCCACCAGAGCTCCAAGGCTGGTTTCCTACAGTTAGTAATTGATTAAGAAGACCTCATGAACACTGCTTTGACTTTCCAGTATAGCAAAGTAATCAAGATCTAAAAATAAACAATCCTGATTGAGCCCAGACGATCCGATGGGCTGGAGGCACTGTGGCGTGATGTCGGTGCTGCTTCCTGAGTTCAACACCAGCCTGCGGCTCCTTCCCACCTCCAGGAGCCACGCTGGCTGGGACAACGGACTGTCTGTGTGCCCCGTCCAGGGCGTCCTCTACTGGGCGTAGTGTCCAGTGGGGGCCCGGTGTGCTGTCAAGGGCCTAGTGTCCAGTGGGGGCCCAGTGTGCTGTCCAGGGCGTAGTGTCCAGTGGGGGCCCAGTGTGCTGTCCAGGGCGTAGTGTCCACTGGGGGCCCAGTGTGCTGTCCAGGGTGTAGTGTCAACAATTCTATTTGAACAAATCTATATTTAAATAGGGACAACATCCAGGTATTGAATGCTTAGTGAGTGCTTGGAAAGCTCGTTGAGAACAGTTTGGCTTGACCTGCTTGGTTAATGGGCAGCTTCCTGGCCGCAGGAAGAGGAGCTCGAACCCCAGGGGCAGCTGCAGGTGGAGATGGGGAGGAGGGAGGCTGGAGAAGAGTGAGAAGGGAGGTGTCCGAGTTCAGTATATGTACCTTGTCTGATGGTATTTATGTATCTAGTTTGATTTTGATAGTGATGAGGTAGTTGTGCTTTTATTCCTCCCGAACTCCAGTTAATAACCTCCATATTTATCTATATATATAAATCAAACAAACAAATCATAGGCTTCATTTAAATTCTAGTAATAAAAAACAACTTTATTTTTTTAAACAGAAGTTCTCAATAAAAATTAAGACTTTGACAGAGGACGTTTGTAATTTCAGGATATGTCACACAGTTCACTTGGACAGCAGGCTGGAATGGAGAAACAACACAACCGTCATGAGATATCACTGCTGAACAGCACAACGCAGCACAACAGCAGCACAACAGCAGCACCCAAACACGCAGATCCAGGCCCGGAAGGAGTCTCTGTCTGGCGGAGTGGAGGCACACTGCTCCTCGGAGAGCAGCAGCTGGACACAGGGCTGCAGGCGGTGGGGTCCTATGGGGGGGTCCCTGTGGGGGGGTCCCCGTGGGGTGCAGGGCACTGTGCTCTGGATTCGTGGAGCGGCGTGCATCACATAACACCGAGGCAGGATGACCCATCGTCCAGCGCAGGCTTCTTGTAAGAGGCCCAAGTTGGCCCCACAGACTTCTTTTGAGGACTTTCCTTTATTCCGCTTTGAACGTTTCTCCCCAAGTCTGCGTCATGCTGCACGGGCTGCAGGTCCTCCTCTCGCGCCACAGTGCTGTCACGCTGTCGTGCGCTTGTGCGCTTGTGCAGGCGTGCTGCTGTGCAATCGCTCACTGGCCGTGACGATGACAAAGCCAGCCAGCCTCTGCCAGTAATGCCTTGCAGAAGGAGAGGGTGGCACGTGTCTGTGTGTTGAGCAGTGCTAATAAAGTAATGGGAAAGGCCTTGAAGAGAGCAATACGTGAAGGAGCCAGCAGGGGGCGCCTGCTGCACACAGCAGATATTCCTTCAGTCTTATTATCACATGACAAGCATCTCCAGGGCTGAGCGATCAAGGAGCACAGCTGCATCAAAAGTCCGGATTCTGGGTAGAAAACGACACAGCTGAGGTTCTGATTCCGGATTCTGGGTAGAGAACGATACAGCTGAGGTTCTGAGTCCAGCAAAGTGTTTAGCACAGCCAGTGGAATTAAATTGTTCATTGAGCAAATAGAAACAGTTGGCTACAGCATGAGCATCACTGTAATATACTCATAATCCATTTCTTTCAAAATTCTAATATGAATTAAGGAAAAGGCACAAAGCAGTTCTTTCCTTTTGCATTTGCAGCCAGCAACCAAGTCACACACACTGTGACAGACAAGAGAGTCAGCCTATCACAACAAAGTTAGTTTCCCGCCTTCCCCCCTGCGAGGCAACCAATAGGAGAAGGCCACCTCCCCCCTGCAAATCCTCCAATAGGGAAGCGGGGTGAAGGCAGCGCAAGGACGTTCCGCAGCTCCATCAATTCCATCACCGTGGCGAAAGACAGCCAAGGAGAAGCAGTGCAGTCCAATCACAGCTCAAGGTTCAGGCCACGCCCATCCCCTTGAAGACTGTGACCAGCTCCTTGCAGTCGGGGTCAATGAGATCAGCAGGCTTCTCACCATTCTCATTCACCGCCTCCACACTGGCGCCCAAAGACAGCAGGTACCTGGGGAAGACAACAGCGAGAGCCCCCGTCACAGTGCTGCTACTGCCAGAAAGCTCAGGCACGACAGTCACAGTACTCTGGGCTTTGGGCTTTGAATCGGACTCACAGCAGAGCTGAAATCGCTGGTAACAGAGAACACAGTCAACGTGTTTGCAAACATGTCTTTCCCTGTTTTCCATCCTGGAATTGTGTTAAGTTACTAGTCAACAGTCCTGCTTCTGGGAAGAGTGTAATAGGATCTTTCAAAGCCTACAGCACAGATGGACAGTCAGACACAGCCCCTTGGCCCAGTGGACCTGCTTGACCAGCAGAGCTGTGCTGTTCACTCCACAGCCCCAGAAGCCCTGAAAGCGCGACTGATCTCCGAGGTGTGAGGAAGACCTCGGCCTGGATCTACATCTCAGGCCCAGGCCTGCAGACAGCATAACTGCAAAGGCTGCTGGGACAGTTGGCGCCGTATGGCCTCACAGTGTTGCCTGTCCTACCCTGCTGTCTCACCGGGCGATGTGGGGGTGCCCGTCGCTGCAGGCGATGTGCAGTGGGGTCCAGCCCTCCTCGTCCCGCTGGTGGATGTCGGCACCGTATTTCACCAGCAGCTTCACGCACTCCAGGTTCCCCGCCAGGACAGCCTCGTGCAGCGCTGCCATTCCTGTGGGACACAGCGGAGACAGGCAGGTCCACTGACCTTAACACATTCATTCAGACAGAGAACACATTCAGTTTTCCTTTTAACCTAGACTTATCTGATGCAGGTCGGAAATCTAAAATGAATGGTTTTGTGCTTTAAAAAACAGTGTTATTAATATCTAATGAGGAAAGCCCTCCTATTTATATAAGAATTGTCATTGTCATTTTTATTTTTTTCTCCCAGTTTGCAAAATATTCCAGATCAATGTCCTCCTTCAGTTTTTCTTTAAGGTTTTTAATGTTTGAATCAAGCAGACCAGGAACAGCAGGTCTGAGCTTCACTGCGCATGTGTCATGTTATGATGGGGGTTTAGTGATCGTCTCCAGGCTCCAGGGTCCTGACCCCAGGAGTGTTTAAGATTTAAGCTGCAGCCAACCTCAGCGCCCCACTCACCAGAGAGGTAGATGGTGTCCAGCTGGACTTTCCGGGCACGAATGAACCGGCCGATCTGCTCCAGGTCTCCCTGCCGGATGTGGTCCTGGAACACGATGTCGTTGGGGAATCGCACGGTGCGCACAGGCTTCACAGGAACAGCACGGCTGTACTGTGAGCTGGGGCACTGGTAGTAGTACTTCATCCTGGACACAGCCGGACAAGCAGGAATAGTGCTCAGTCCTGTAGGATCAGGGTCTTCTTTCCTGGGAAAAGCGCTGTGGATCCTACCAGCACAGGAGATCTTCAGTATTCAGTGTCCTGTAAGCAGGACCTCCAGGTGCAAATATAATCAAATCTCTTCAGAGATGTTTGTCCTAGCCCTTGACCTCAAAAATAATCCCCTTTCTTGTATCTCGATATTAAAAAAAACAACTTTAACTCACTCCTTCAGTTAAATGCAAAATTCTGTTCTTGCAGCTGGAAGCCAGAAGTGAAATTTCTTCTGGCTGGACGATGACGTCTCTGGCTCCTTCAGTCGGTTTCTCCCTCCTCTGCCGCCCGCAGCAGGGTCCCTATATACGCTCTCCGAGGCTATTTTAGGGGCTGTCGCCTCATAGATCAAATGACCCAGCCTGCAGGATCACTGGACGTTGCCCCCTCCCTCAGCTTCTCCGCTTACAGCTGCAATCCCGCCGAGCTGGCCTGCCCACAGCCCGAGCCCTTCCAGCGCGCCGACCGCAGATCCATTACAGGTCACGCACCGCCGGGCACAGAGCAGCTCCTTGTCAACAGCACGAGGAAACGCTGCCGGGACATCCAGGCATTTCCACCCACTGTCCTCGGGGAAGTAAACAGCAAGCAGCGGGAAAACAACTCCCCCCCCCCCCAAGCCCCTTCAGCCCACCTGCTCGTTACGAGAGTAACGATGTAGGAGCCCTCGTGCCTCGGAGCTCAGGAAGCCCACTCCAGGAGCGCCCACTCTCCGTGGCCCCGAGACACTCGGAGCCGTATCCGTGTGGCTGCTGCGTGCTCCGGGCCTCGTCGAGGACAGGGGAGGGTCAGGCGACTTCCTGGGGAGCTGCTGGACCCGGTGGACAGCGCCGCAGCGTGGCCCAAGTGACCCAAGACATCCCCTCAACCCCAAGCACACAGACCTTTCCCCTGGCGGGGCTGGAGCAGGTTCGACACCTGCGAGTACCACCCCGGAGGAGAGGAGCAGAGGCAGCAAGAGTGGCAGCTGCTCGAGAGACAGAGAGAGCGGAAGAGCCGGTGCGACACCACGAGGCAAAAAGCAAACTCAGCCCAGTCTTGGTTTTAAATCTTTATTTGGCCACCAGTTGTTTTCAGTCTTCAGTGTGATGGAATGCCTCTTTATAAACACTGCCAATTCAAAACCCCGACACCCAACTCAACCCCCACCCCTCCCACCCTCAAATCACATTCAAACCCCCAACCCCTCTTCTGACGAGAGCGACCGCGAGGATGACAGCCCTCCCCGGCAGGGACAGGTGGCCCGGCCCGAGCAGCCCGACACCGGAACCAGGGGAGAGGGCAGCGGCTGCGTCTCAGCGGGACTCCAGCCCTCACGGTTCTTCCGCTGAGAAACCCAGAACAAAGCAGAGGCTGGCAGCGCAGCCAAGCGGAACCGCAGACCAGGGGTCCGGCGGCCTGCTGGGCCGGCTCGCAGGCAGAACCGCGGCCCAGTCGGGCCCGGCCACACACAGGAGAACAAGAAGGAACCCCAAAACAAATGATCAGAACTTAAAAATCAGTAGCTGGGCTGCAGAACACACGCTGGGGGGGGGGGGGGGGATGTGTCGATCCCTCAGATCTGCACCGACCTGAGAGAGCACTGCATACAGGACTGGAGAAACAAAGGAAAAGTCACGCACCCACAAAACAAGGCTACTTCACCAACAGAACCCTCACCTACGGAAACCAGTGTGGCGTTAATAATTACAAGAGGAAACAGCCCCCTGGTGTGAAGAGAACCTCCCTGTCTTCTCTCAGCAGGAAGAGAGGGAGGGGAGAACGTCTTCACGGCTGTGAACAAAAAAAGCCAACTTTTTACACTCCGAGCGGCTCCACCTCCATACAAGACTGCATAGGCAACACCAGAGCGGCTTAAAACAAAAGACCTAGACTTCCTGAAGGCGTCTGAGGAAGAACAAAACAAAAAAGATACACATGAAGTGTAGTTAAAAATTAAATCTAGTTTTAGTCACCTATTGGGAAAACGTATGAAACCAGAAAAGAAAACCGTGCCAACGGCCTTAAAATATATATATACACAGTATCATTCAACACCTCAGCAGAGATGTGTGGGGACAGAGGGGTGTAAAAAAACCACACAGTCCTTCTCCAATCACTGAGGAAGAGTTGCCAGCCCCCTGGTGCCGAATCAGTGCTGAGCCCCCAGCCGGAGAGCGGGGCGTCTGTCTGGGCCGGGGTGTCCTGCAGGCGCTGGCGGGCAGAGCAGATCGATATGAAGGTTAGTGTGCGCAGGACATTGGAGGGGAGGGGGCAGCTTCGCAGGGACCTCTACAACTCGTCGTGGCCCCCCTCTTCCCCATCAGAGTCGTCGTCGCCCTCCTCCTCGGGGAGATCCGCATCCTCCAGGTCCTGGAGGAGAGAGAGAGAGAGAGAGCACACGCAGGTCAGCCAGAGGAGAGGACCCGGAGCTCCACACCCCTGCACACGCAGGTCCATCCTGCAGACTCCGACAGCTTATCCACCCCAGTACAGTCCGTGCTCAGGGCAGGTCGAAGCTCTGGCTTTCTGCAGGAGACTGCGAGTGTCTGGAGTGTGCTGAGCCTCCAGGAGCTGGCGGCAAACAGCAGGGACAGCTGCAGCTGTGATTACCCGCTGCTCGGCCTCTAGAATTAGACTTCTAAGAAACGGGCTGAGCCGGTCTGCTCTGGATTCGCCAGGGCTTGGACACTGCTCCCCTTCGCCCGCGCACGCCGAGCGGTCAGCTCCGGCTCGTCCAGCACAACAGGGTCAGGCCAGCTTTTACACCCAGGTCAGAACGCCGCCATGAAGCCTGCCCAAGGGAGACCAGCTCCCGGGACATGGAGGGAATCCCACTGGAGTGTTTCAACTCCTTCAACACCAACACGCAGCCTCACTGACAACCGTTCCTGATCTCAGCCCTGCTGTTGCATTAACAGCGCGAGTTCCCAAGCTCTCTGAGAGCTGTTCCCACTCCGGTCTGCTCAATCCCCCCCGCAGGACTCGGGTGTGACCAGCCTGCGGGAGAGCACAGCCCTGCAAACGGAGACGTCCCAGACAGAGCACCTGCTGGAGTCTCAATCTGCATGACGAGACTTTCAAAGTCACAGATAAATGCAGACTGGTAACAGGCCTTCAAGAGCCTCTGACTTGAAATGAGAGCATGAAACTGGAGCGCGGCAGTGGAGGGGAGGCAGAGACGCGCAGGCCACTGCCCTCAGGGTGACCTTTTCTAGGGTCAGCCGGGGGGGTCATGTTTGTTTGGCCTAGTCGCCAAGGGCAACACTGCTCCTGTGGCATTCACAGTGGGGAGGGGTCTGCAGCAGGCCCACATGCACACACGTCCCCGGGTTTGCACAGCCCCCCGGCCTGGAGCCCGACCTCACTCCTGCAGTCAGCAACACAGACGAGATTCAACGAGCTTTTCCCTTAGAACAGCAGACAACCCACTTCACATGCTGGGCTTGTTTTCAAGGGAGGGCAGCCCAACAAGCCCTGGTTCGGAAAAAAAAAAAACAGGGTGCAACGGAGGCAGGCCGGACAGCCCCCCGCTGCACGCAGGCGCCACTCACCTCGTCGTCGTCCCCGACCGGCGCACCGCCCTCCTTGCCCCCACTCTCCAGGAACCGGGCGAAGCCCTCCAGCGTCCTCTCGCCATTGTAGTCGATCACCTGCAGGGCAGCAGGGCAGTCAGAGCCACGGCGATGGCGACCGCACACACGCCCACGCGAACAACCCAAAACAAGCCTGGAACGTCATGCTATGGACTCCTTACTGCTGTACGAAGTCCAACAAAGACAGGACTGCCGCCAAAATGAGCAAGTTCCAGTCTGGGTCATGACAGGGCGGCTCTTAATCAGCCGACTCGCATAACTCCAGCGAGGACCTGCGCCGGCTTTAGAACAGGCTTCCACAGGACGCAAATAGAGCCACACTCTACCCATCACCCCATTTTACAGCTGTTAAAAAAAGCCCAGTGAAGACCAGCACCACTCTGGGTCGCTCACCTTGTGCTCGTCGCCGGCGGGGAAGAACTTGAGCGTGGGAAAGCTGTGCACCTTCACAGCCTCGATCTCGTTAGCGGTGGAGTCCATTTTGGCTACCACGATGCTGTCGCTGTCCTTGTACTTCTCGCCCAGCTTGTCCCAGATGGGCGCCAGCTGCTTGCAGTGCCCACACCAGGGGGCATCTGTCAGACAGGGGGGCAGGGCAGAAGAGGCGCGACCGCGTCACAATCAGAACTTCACACAGCTGCCGGACTGCTCTGCTCTCTGCAAAACATTCCTTCAACATCGGAAGTCAGGCAGCTGTGCTGCGGTTACCCAGCAGGGGTTTGTATATGAGGCCAGAAGTTGAATAACACCTGGAGCTGCAGAGTCCAGGGCAGCAGGACAGTAGGAAAGTCCAAGCTGGGCCTGAGCCTTGTACCACTGACATCCAGAAGCGATACTTGGGCCACCAGAGCGAGCACTTGCAAGGTCTACAGCCCAAAGCAAAGGATCCTAAAGGGCTGAAACCAACCACAGTCCTGCCTTTCCCACTCCTGAATTTCAGCAGCTTCAGGCCGATTCAGCACCAACCCTTCACACCCGGGAACGAGACAAACAGCCCGGCTCTGTTCTCCAGCAACCCGCTTCAAGGCCACGAGGAGAGCCCAGCAGCAGGTGCCTTTGCGTCAGACGGCGAAGGGTAGCCGATATTCCCAGAATAAGGCTGGCTGCTTGCCACTTGCTGCAGCAGAGAGCACTGACAGGTGTGGCCAAAGCCAGATGCCCCCACATCAACACCGGGGGGCAGGGCCGCACCCCAGGCCTGGACAAGCGCAGAAAGACCCAGTAATGCAGGGTGCCACTGACAGCTTGAGATGCTCCCGTGTGGGGTACTAGGATCCTTAAGAAAGCTCTTGCAGTAACTTCAGACAACACACTGAAAAGTGAAAACCACTGCATATGTACAAAGGAACCTGGAGCCACAGGACAGTAGGAAAGCAAACGGTATTACTCACAGAATTCGATGAACACATTCTTGCTGGGATCAAAAGCAACTTCTTCGAAGTTCTTCCCAACCAGGACCTTGACAGGGTTCGCGTCCCAGTCCTCAGGGATGTCCTGGCTCATTAGATGAGGCTGCAATGGGTGACAAACTATTAGTCTCCACCACACTGAAGATGTCTGGCCGCTGCAGTGCGGTGGCCTGCGCAATAGTAAATTCAGTGTGGAAACTGGCTGCACTGGACACCTGTAGAGCTTTGAATTCTGCAGGATCACAGTGTCCGAGAGCTCCGCTCTGCCGGATATCGCGCCACACCTACCTTCAGCTTGCCCTCCAAGAACCGCGTGCAGAAGGCGCTGATGTTGTCAGCTGTGATTTCGGAGCTCTCAGGCTTGTACTTGGTCATCTCGTCCTCCAGCGTGATGAGCCGGATAGCCGGGCACTCCTCCTTCTTCAGCCCGAAGAACTCCAGGATGCGCTGGTTGTCATCCAGATCACTGTCAATGAAGATAAAGAGGATCTGGAGAGGAAGAGAAAGCAGAGGCGGTCTTGTTTGAGAAACACTGTGCTAAGGGCAGCTCCTTCAGAACTCTGAAGATAAGGCTATGATTTCCTTTCAGCCTGTAGACCAGCTCCGAGTACCTCACCTTGCCCTTGAAGTCCCGAGCTGCCTTTTTGAAGTTGTCCATCTTGTTCTGGAAGTCTGAAGCTGTTTTAGGGACAAACAACAGGATGTGGGACTTGATCTCCCCTCCAAAGATCTTGGGGGCAGTCTGCAGGAATAAGAGGGAGAGGTTAAAACAAAGCATGAACTCCCAGAGCCTAAAAGCTGATTTTATTCCATCAGGCATTTCTCCTGGCATGGTCAGCGGCCAGAGGCAGGCAGCACGACATGCTCCAAGCTCCAGGTGTGCAGCAGGCTCACCTGCTCCGTGAACTCGATGACCATGGGCAGCTGGTTGGCCTTGATGAAGCTCAGGAGGCTCTCCTTGGTGACGTCGCCCTCGAAGGCATTGCGGCCCTCGTCGAACTGCAGGAACACAAGCGCAGGTGAATACAGCAGCTCTTCTTCACAGCCTGACAGAACTCACGATAAAGCAAACTCTCGATCTGAGAGCCGAATCTCGATGTGGGATGCAAGAAGAATTTGTCATTTAACTTGCAGCCTGGAAATGCTTCAAAACCCAACTAACCCAGGATCAGAGGAGAGGAAGTTACTGCTGAGTATCTATTACAGCTGCAGATTTTCTCCCAGAATGGCATCACTGAACACTAATGCACACCTCTGCAGCCCGCAGATCAGGAACGTCACAGCTGTGATCTCTCCCCAGGAGCTCCACAGTTTCTAAATACACCCCACCACGGGGCGAGGGCTCTAAGGAATGAGAACAAAGGTGTCGATCAACGCTCCAGCACTGCCGACACAGAAGGCAAGAGGGAGGAAGGGCTGGCCAGGAGGCAGGAATGTGTCCAGAGGGCAGAGGAGCAGGGCAGCCAGAAGGTGACAAGCCTACAAACACTGCGGCCGCGGCAGGGCAGGGCCAGAGGTACAGGAGACCGGGGCCTCGGGTGCCAACCCTCCACCCTGACCCAGAAATATAAAGATGGGGCAGGTGATCATCGATCGCCCTGCGCCAGGAGGGCAGACGCAGCCGAGAGGAATCCCAGAGGCAGTGTGGCAGGAAGTCAAAGGTTCACAGCACCCTCTGTATGAGCTTTCGGCCAACTTGAACCCAGCCTTGCAGAGGTCTGCCCTGAGCCCAGAGGGGGTTTCAACTAACCACGATTAAACCTTAAACCTGGGAGATCCCTCAGACTGAAGTTAAAATGGCTGCATGCAACAGTCGGGCTGCAAACTGGTTACAAGCAGCGACTGGGGAACTCCAAAAAGGCAGCACAAAGGCAGAGCGGAGAACCAAGCCTGCGGTCTCGAGTCCACACCCGGCCTGCAAGAGGCCAGCCAGGCTAGCCAGCAGATTCGCAGAGGCCTTGCCCCAGACCTGCGGCTCAGAAGGGCAATGCTCTCATCACCCTGAGGCTCGGGGAGATGCTCGGTGTCCAGGGCTCTTGAGGGATGAGGAAACAGAACCCGCCCTCCCTAAACCGGCCAGGGCATCGCAGACTCCAGCCCTGGATTAACGAGGTTCCCGTCTTGGCAGTTCTATTTGATCACCGCCAGAGACTTATTATATAACAGTAGCCTTGATGTAGCTTCCGAATATCCCCCCCCCTCCCCGACCTATTCCGGGCAATCCTGGAATCTTGGATCGCTGTGATCTTCAGTCACAAGGCTGCCAACTGGAAGCTTCTAGAAGAAATGTTGCAGTTACGTAAATCAAACTGAGATGCCAGAAACCGTCCAGCTCTGGCTGGCATTGTGACTCCAGAGCAATCTCGGACAGCCTCCAGGAGTCCTGCAGCTGCTCACCGCCTCTGACCAGAGAGGAGCCCGGAGAAGAACGCCTGAGCCCACAGTCACACACCTTGCAACACGCTGCCGTCGGAAACCGCCAACACAGCAGAGACGCAGCTCTGAACACCGATACCGCAGCACGCCAAGGACAAGCACCCTGCCTCCTCGCTCACAGCCAGACCGCACTCCGGAACAAGGTCTAGCTGATGTAGGAGCAGACCGGCGGCACTGCGCTCGGACAGGAAGACAGCCTGCATAGAGCCCTCCGCAGCCTTCACCAATCTAGCAAGGAGGGCCATGCGATTTGCGTGGCTCACTGGGCCCTCACCTTGGAAGCTCGCCCTCGAAGGAAACCGAGCAGCCCAGTGTGCTCAGGTTACTGCCAAGTCAGTCCTCAAGGTCCAGACTTCGCAGCTCAGCTCAGGCAGGAATCACAGCGCAGAGCACCAGTGCCAGCAGGGTACCCTCACTAGGCTGGCCCGCTGACCAGAAGGGCACAGGAACTAGCACAGCGTGCCCTGGAGGACTGGAGCCCTAGCCAGTAGGGCACTGCTCCACCACTCCACCACTCCCACATGGCGCTCAGAGCTCAGCGGTCAGCTCCCAGGGAGAGCGGGAGATCGGGCAGGAAAACCAGAACTGGATGTGCCCTTCTCATGAGCGAACACAAGAAAGCCGGAAACTTTGGTGTGAACCCGAAGAAGCTGTGCTGTGTACGAGGGTTTAGTGCAAAGACTGAACATCTCAAGTATTCATCCAACAAACTCAGCTGGATATTCAAAATGGGATTTTGGCACACTGCCACCCCACCTGGGGAAAGCAACATCCCCAGCAGGGAGGCCAGCCCTGGGGTCAACAGCGTTAACTGGAACACACAGCCACGTGTTTCAACAAGTCAGAACGAGCTGCAAACCGCCCCCTGCTGGAGACTGCTGCCCACAAACAGACCCTACCTGTCGGTGGGGAGAGACGGGCAGGACACCCACTCATAACGCAAAAATAAACTGGGATTTAACCCCGAATTCAAAAGATCCTGCAAGCCAGTGAGAGCGAGAGCTGACGGGCCCTGACCCCACCTCTCACCTTCTTAAACAGGACCACGCTGTCCTTGGACACCTCGAACTTGGCATAGAGGGCATCCGAGGAGGTGATGCCGAAAGGAATGTCATCCACAGCCTCTGCAGCCTTCAGGAATGTCTTGGCATCATCCGACTCAGCATCCTGGAAGAGAGGAAGGCCAAATTATTCCCAACTGGCTCATTTAAAATAAACACATTTAAGCAGCTCTGACACCAGAGGTGTTTCTGATTATTCAAATACTTCAACTGGAGTGTTTAAGGTAAACCTGCACTTTTTAAAGTGAAAGCAAACCTGCTTCTACCACTAAAGTGACTGATGGGGAGGATTTCTTTTTCTGCTCTGCTGCTGGCTACTAACATGTCATACAGACCCAAGAGCAGAGTAGTGTCCTCCCAGAGAGTGGAGAAGGTGGCAGAAAGTTGCAGGTCCACAGCACTGCCCAGTGCAGCCCCTGCAGAGCCTGTCACGTCACACCTGAGCCTCCTGCTCACAAGTGAAGGGTGACTCCCCCCGAGCCCCGCCGGTTCCCCTCACCTTGAAGAAGCCGATGACCACGACCTCATTGTCCGCGATGAGCGTCTCGGCCTCTGTGACCTCGGTCAGGGAGGTGGCCGCAGGGCCAGTACGTTTCTTCAGCCAGGCCACGATGTCGTCAGCCTGCCTGCCAGCTGCACCGGGGGAGGGGGGGGGAGGGGTTAAAGTACAGCACCGACGTGGACGGGCGAGTCAGACCTCACAGGGAGATATCCCCAGCCAGCACTGTTGGCCGTGGAACAGCGGGGACTCTGGAGACTTCGATCCATCTGCACAAGGGCCCTGCTTGCTCCCGCCATCATCTCCTTACAGCTGTTAACAGTCTTTTGCACTGGATCCAAGTTCCGCCCTCAGGGCACAGAACTCCACGGCTCCGGCGCCGCAGCTCACGTCAACACCAGGCTGGGACAGGAGCAGTCACGCCTGCTGGGAAACCAGCGGCCGGCGGGCAAGAACTGCCCGGTCCTGCCTGCGGTCAGGCGAACCCTCAGCCCAACTCAGGCTGGCTGGCTAGGTGGCTGGGTGCTGGAGGCACATTCTTCCCCACCCCCCCCAGGAGCAGCACGAGCACGTGGCACTGCATGCGTCTACTCTGGGTGGCCCAGACACAAACACCCGGGCCCCTGAAGGCCTGCCAGGCGTCCACAGCCCGGACTTGTGCAACACACACTGGGGGAGACGCGCTGTGGTGAGGCAGCAAGGGCCCCCACCTGCATCCGAGCGCCTTGTTTTGTTCCTGGCCTGCCTTGCCCACAGCCTCCCCCCCTTCCCGGGAGAGAGAGGATAGCCAGGGGCACAGCAGGCTCATCTTCCGAGTCAGGGCAAGCAGCTCCACACCAAGATCAAAACACCTTATTACTTTAGCCTCAATGTTATTTGCAAGCACCACAGCGACAGCCTACAAAAACAGCTTCAGAGCTCCAACCAGCCTCCCTGCTGCCGTTTGCATCATGTAGCAGCTGCCCTTAAGCACCCCAGCTCCTCTCTCCTCGCTCTTACACCCCGAGAGCCCAGCACGAGCTCAGCTTAACCCGACTCCCCTGCCCTGGCAAGCTGCAAGGGCTCTTGACCCCACCGGGCTTGGAGCTGCCAGCCCTGCACAGGAACCAGGAGAACAGTCGCTCAGGGGTATGAGCACAAGGCCTCTCGCTGGGGCTTCTGGCCCAGGAACTGCAGCGGAACAGGAGAACTGCTCAACACGAGGCGAGAGGAAGTTAATACAGACTCCACTGCACTCTCAACAAAGCAGCCAAACAGGTGCTGCAGCAAACACCACGCTCTGTACAGTGCTTCTAGTGTCAAATACGCAGACAGCTCGGCATCGCCACCCCGGCAGTCAGAGCAGGAAGTGCTGAGCCCGTCTGTCCGACGGGCCGAGATCTGCACGTGCAGGCCCGCCCTCCTCCGCCAGCTCGACGCGCACGAGGCAATCCGCCCGCCAGCCTCACCTGAGTACTCCTTAGGAGAGCTCTTGTCTCCCCCCTTGAAGAACTTGATCGTAGGGTAGCCCCGCACTCCGAATTCCTGCGCCAGCTCCGTCTCCTCTGTGGCATCCACTTTGGCCAGCCGGATGTCCGAGTCAGTGGCCTTGAGCATGCCCGCTGCCTTGGCGTACTCTGGTGCCAGCGCCTTGCAGTGCCCACACCAGGGGGCATCTGGAAGAGAGAGACGGGTCAGGCAACATCGGGGGCGGAAGGGCATCATAGCCAGATGTTTGAGAACAGTTTCAGGGTTCAGTCCCCAGCACGTGACAGCCCAACGATTTCAGCCTTCACCAATTCAAACACCCAGCAGGATTTACTGAGCACATCCCTTCCCCCGTAGCGACTCAGCACTGCGATAACTTTCATAGAAGCAGCCCCTCAGTCACAATTAGTGGAAGATGCATATTGTGACCCCTATAGGTAACCTCCCCCCTTATCCTGAACCCCAGTGATGCTGGGGTCACCCAGGTTCGTCAGACTGGGCTCCCGCAGCGCGAGACCATCGTGGAGACGGGAGTCTGGGATACTTTTACCCTGCTGCACCCACAAACAGACTTCTTGCAGAAAACCCCAAAGCAGGCCTGAGGCAGATGAGCCCCACTAGAGCAGCTCTGCTGTTCACAAGCCCTTCCACCACGAGCTGCCCGAGACTTCTCCCACCCCTCAGCGTGCCGATGCATACTCCAGCACAGCCCCTACGGATGGCGAGGAAGAGGCCGCTGTGCTTCAGGAGAGCCCGGAGTGCCTCTCTTCCTCACTCCGACAGCACCGCCCAGCTGCTGCTGGGGGTTCAAGCGCAGACTGTCATACAGCCGGCACAACCTGTAGCCTTTGTACTGGCCGGGCTACAACAGGTGACTTTATAAAACCACGGGCTACCGCCCCACCTGACAGCCCCAGACTCTCACACTCCTGCCACGTTTGAGCTGACAGACAAAGCTGTACAATTCCTCTACATAATAAAGCAAAACAGACACTGAGCTGGTGAAAATAAATGATGCTTCAGCCACATTTAATACTGAAAGACTAGCTTCGTGAAACACATTTATCTCATGAGGGCACCAGTTAAATGTTCTCATGTACAAGCATATCATCCCTCAAAAGGCCCCTGTAGAGCCAGCGTGCAAAGTGAAGATGGGTTTTATGCAGAAACCCAGGAAGGTGGGCTTTTCTTGGACTTCTGCTGAGATTTGGGTTAAAGCTACTGGTCCAGGTCTCTCAAGTACACGTCAACCTACCAGGTCCACCCGCCCCCGAGAGACCTCCTCCCTCCGCTGATTGGACGAGCCAGACCGGGCCACTCGTGGACTGGACAGCCCGGCCGTCACTCAACCCCCCCCAAGTTCAACTCCATCCGCTAGCACCGTGGCTCGCACCCCCTGACCCCCGCAAAATGGAGCGGCACGGCGGGAGGAAGGGAGACCCGAGAAATTAGTTTCCTTTCAGCCGCGCAGTCGAAACCGAAAAAAAACTTTCCGTCTCGTCGAGCTCCCGGGTAGGAAACCGCAGAGCCGTCCGTGCGCACAGCGCAGTCCTCTCCAGGGCACATCCAGACGCGACATGCAAAGCGTCGCTCTCGGCTCATTAGCCGACAGTTCAAGTCAACGCGCTCCCTAACTGCGTCCTGCTGGACCGCTGCTCACGCCTCGCCCGGCCACGGCTGCGGGCCATTCGCGCACGGCCCACCCACGCTCACGCCTCGCCACGGCTGGGAGCCCACTGTAACGCCGGTAGCTCTCGGGGAGTCACGGGCTGGATTAGCGCCCGAGGTGACGGCTCCAACATAACCGCCAGACTTTCACAAGTTGAGAAAAGGAAGTTGATCCACGTCAGCGAACTCTGCTTTTGTTTTTTTTGCGTGGATCACAGCTACATCGAGTACAAGCGACCCCGCACGGCCGCTAAGTACCGGGACCCACCACCGGCGCCCCCACCGAGCTCTCCTCCGGACACCGTGGGGTGGCCACTCGGGTCGCCCCCGTCCGTGGCGCTGCAGTAGCTTCATGTACGGGGGGGGGGGGTACCCCCCCGAGCTGAGCTCTCCCCTCTCTCGCTCCCCAGGCAGTCCGGGGGTACTCACAGAACTCCACCAGCATGTTGGGGTGCGCCTTCAGAGCCTCTTCGAAGTTCTCCTTCTTCAGCACCAGCACGTCGTCCTCCTCGGCGATGTGGGCTGTGCCGGCCGCGGCCAGCGCGCACAGCAGCAGCAGCAGCAGGCCGGGCATCCTGGCGTCCGTCTCGCAGGGCCGGCTGGGGATCACGCAGAGCGGCGGGTCCTGGGCCTGTGTGGGGGCTGGCTGTGGTGCGGGTGTGCAGCAGGGAAACCGTGCCGAGACGCGCCTGTGTTTGTGTCTGCCGCGACTAACGTGGCATTGAGCGCAGGAACCAGAGAGGCTGGGCGCAGCGCGCAGGCGCTTTTATCAGGCTGGATGCTGTTCGTGTTGAAATGTGACTGGACCGCAGGCGGCGCCACCTGGAAGTGAAACCCCGGCCGGGGCGGACTGAGCCGCTGTGGGTCGGGGTGGGGCGGGGCCGCTGCGGGCTCGCATGAGTGTGTTTATGCTGTTCGGCACGTACAAAGAGCCAACATTACTATTTCTCGGAGATGGTGGTGGGGGGAATAAATTATCGTAAAAATAAAGTAGAATGTCTCAGCGATAAAAGTATTGAACCAAAATGGCTGACGTGTTGTTGGAGTATTTCATCCGGGTGTTTACGAAAGCAGACACTGAAACCAGGCCCCAGGCTGAGCAAAGACAAAGTTAAACAGTAACTTTAACAATATTTGGCACAGACGAGGCATGAGTGCTGCGCGTAATAGGAGCACTGAAGGCATCTCGAGGGCCTGATGATTTTCTGTAAAGTACTTAATTAATATCCAAAGCACGTTAGAAATCCAAAGAATACTAAAAATGATTAATAACAGGGGAAAGAGTAAAGGTTTATTCCAGGTGAAAAGAGAATCCGAAGAAGGCTCCACAGCAGACTGCATGCTGACGCAGCTCCCTACTTGAACTTCATTTTTCATAACAGCCTACCAATTACACCAAGACCATTTCACAGGGCTGTGTGCGTGTGTGTGTCAGTGCAGTGTGCAGTGTTGACAGGGTTGTGTCAGTGTAGTGTGTAGTGTTGATAGGGTTGTGTCAGTGCAATGTGTAGTGTCAATAGGGTTGCGTGTCTGTGTGTGTCAGTGCAGTGTGCGCTGTTAACAGGGTTGTGTGTCTCTGTGTGTCAGTGCAGTGTGTAGTGTTAATAGGGCTGTATGTGTCAGTGGAGTGTGCTGTTGTGTTGACAGGGTTTTGTCAATGCAATGTGTAGTGTCAATAGGATTGCGTGTCTGTGTGTGTCAGTGCAGGGTGTAGTGTTGACAGGGTTTTGTC